ATCCTTGATTCGTCTACTAATAGTTTCGTTTGAGAGAGGTATTTACTTCTTTTTCAGCCTCTTCACCAAACAAAGTTTTCACTACCGCACAAGTTGGAAGAAAATATGACTCCGCAATTGAATGTGGCTTCATATGATTGGCTGTCTGCTCTGCCAATAAATAACTTGCCTTCTGCGTTTTTTCTACCTTAGCTTTTTTTCTTAAACCCGAATCTTTGTTGTTTGTTATCTTTCAAGAGTCTTTTAAAGCAATCCACAGGTTTTGAGAGAAGTAATTATGTTTTGTTGTTAAATGGCATTTTCATAGGAGTTAGATTCGTTTGATAGCACAATGCTACAAACAGCGCACTTTGGTCTTGGGTCAAACTCATCATCACAGCAAGTAAACACAAGTTCTAGATAGCTCTCGATATACAAGCGAAATGATTTGCTGCGAATTTTCTTGCTGCTATATGGCCGTGCTGAGGCCTCCCTAGGACCTGTAGGACTGGACAAGATTTCAGCTGTCACTTCACTTTCCCTGCTTGGACCTGCACAACTAATCTCACTTTGAGGTGTCACTTCACTTTCCACAATCGGGTATGAAGAAGAAGGCTGGCTTTCAGTGGTAATTCTTGAATAATTTTCAGTGTCTTCGACACGTATACCTTGTGTATCATTATCAACTTCCACTCCATCTCTGCTCCTGTCAGCGTCAAGACGCTTGCGTTTTTTCATGGTGAACATTTCCATGTTTTGCAAGGTTTAAAATTATTTCCGCCACAGTAATAGATTGCACCAACGGTCAAAGATGTACTATTACTGGTACTGTATCTTTCTCCCACGCAACTAGAATAAATGCTGGGCTAAGTGTTGCCAGTAAGACATTTTATCATCATTCTTGGCAAAACAACTTCTGATATTAATTTCAAAACTTTCGACATAAAGTTTTCATGCCTACATACTTGTCATTTTTTCTTACTATCTTATATATTAGTGAAATGACATGTTGATACCTTAGCAGAGAAAGAGGCAGGGAGAGGAGAACGGAGCAGGTACCCGCAGTACAGACAGGATGCTTACGTGTGTAGTACTCGTATTATCTTGGAAAGGGAATGTGTCCTTAATGTACACACACACATTTGTGTGTGTATTATATTTATATATATATATATATATATATATATATATATATATATATATATATATATATATATATATATATATATATATATATATATATGTTCATTGTCACAAATTGGGTTCATGTCTAGAATTCTAAATAAGGCGGCCAGATGCAAGGCACAATTTCAAGACATACCTAGATATCTATTAAATTTTCGCGGCGCACTTGAGGGATGGTCGTGGCGCACAGGTTGAGAACCACTGCACTAGACACAAGTCACCATTTATTGATGTAGCTGATGACTGAAGGACAGTATGAAAGAATCTGACAAAATTTCATTGAAAGAAAATCATACAGTTACCGTTGAGGGAGGAATGCTAGCTCTCTTGCAGGACTGCCCCTACAACAGCCATCTAAGTTGTTGTCTGTGAGAGAAAGTAAGTCATACGAAGTCAGAAGAGGAGTACCGGAAGTTAGTGTTCCGAAACCTCTATTCTAGAATATATGATTTTATCAAAAATCTCTTACACCTTGTTTAAAGAGAGAGAGACTTCGTTAATGACGATACCCTGTTCATGCCTCAAGAGACGAGAGGGAAAAAGGATGCAAGGCAGTTAATCACACTCGCCCTTTGATAGTAAAACACAATCCAATGACTCTCTTAAGTCTGACCTGGAATTTTATAATCGAACAAAATCATGCCAAAATTTGATCCTTTGAGGGATGTACGGTTGTAATTTAACTTAATAAACACATCAAACACTTTGGCAGGGGAAGTCTGATAAGTATTCTCCAGAGCCAGATGCACTAAATGGATGTAGGAGTATTTATGCCCGTGAGACAGGCAGATCGACAAACATAATGCATCACCGGTTAAGCAAACGAACATGATGAATTTCAAAGTATGTCGGGATATGGAGTGCCTTTTAGAATTGCCATTCAAGCGCGAAAGCCATAATTGAGGTATGATTTTTATGATGCAAAACTGTGTGTTGTCGGGGGCAACTATTGTAACCGATAGATATAAACATTAATATAAACTATTGGTATATAGAGACACACATACAGAGACAGATTAAGAAAAAAAGAGAGTGAATGGGTGCAAGGGAAGAAGAGAGAGAAAGAGACAGATAGAAACAGAGAGAGATTGATTATCGAATATTATCTGCCGCGTCAACAGCTATGGTCATTAGTAGCGAATATCTTGTGGAACTAAAGCTCTGAAACATTTAAAACATTAAAACATCTACCAACAAATAAAGTCTCTTACAAGTAAAATTAAATCATAAATATTGCATTAAAAATAAGCATAAATATCTCAGGTTACAGATATAAAACTAGTACATAAATATTATGCCTAATTAAACTTTGAGAGAGGGAAGGAGAGGAAAGAATGACGGAAGGAAGTGACCGAGAAAGGCAGACAGTCCAAGAGAGGGATAGGAGAGCCGCACGACGCAAACAAACCTTAACCATCAGATTTTACGCCTCAGCTCAAACCGGATACACACAAATCGGATGCACGAGAACGAACCCATAATCTCGGATACCTATTGTCCTTAAAACTAATATAACACAAGGAATCAGGCTTAATTACCAGCCTAAGACTATATCTCCAAAACTAATATAAACTAACATAAAACAAGGAATTGGACGAAATCGCTCGAGTTGCACTACGCTAATTACAACTGTCTCTTCCACTGATGGAGTTTATTGCCGTCTCTGACTGTGATTTCGGTCTGATCGCGTTTGGGAGAGACACGATGAGAAAGGTGCGAGGAAGAGGAAAATGAGAAGGAAGGGAGTGAGAAGAGTAAAGGGAGAAAGGGGGAAGTATGAAAGAGAAAAAAAAAAGGAAAAGAGAAAAAATGAGGTAAAGAGAGACAAAGTATAGATTAAAGGCGTTAGGAAAAAGGAGGCAAAAGGGGAGCTGGACGGTGAGGAATACAGAAAATGGAAGGGGAAAGTATGAGGGATAGAGGATGGTATGAGGGGAAAATGAGGAAGTGTGTTGTGATGAGAGACGACCAGACATTTGATGTGACGTTATGTATGTGTGCGTATATATATATATATATATATATATATATATATATATATATATATATATTATATATATATATATATATATATATATATATATATATATATATATATATATATGTGTGTGTTTGTATTTGTATGTATTTATATATATACAGATATACATACATCCAAAATTATATATATACTGTTTGATAGATATATACGTGTGTGTGTGTGTGTGTGTGTGTGTGTGTGTGTGTGTGTGTGTGTGTGTGTGTGTGTGTGTGTGTGTGTGTGTGTGTGTGTGTGTGTGTGTGTGTGTGTGTGTGTGTGTTTGTGTGTGTGTGTGTGTGTGTGTGTGTGTGATGTCTATACAGATACACATCACACACACACACACAAATATGTTTGATAAAGGTACTCGCTTTAATTTCTCGCCAGTCGCTCAGTATCGACTTTATAGAACAGTTTACCGCATCAGGTCCGAGGTTTCGTTTTTTCTTAACGGCAACACCATGCTTATCAACAGTGAGGTAGGAATACGCTAAGGCTTTGAGATTGGCAATCGCTATACGTGGAACTGTTACATCATCACCAATACTATTTTTATCTTTGATCATTATTTCAGAATAAAAAAAAATGGGAAAGTGGATGCGGATAGCCACAGTTTATAAATTTCATACGTTCATGTAATGGAAATCTCATTTTTTGAACACTAATACAGTTGCACTTGTTCGCCTTTTATTCTTTCCTTTTTTTTTTAATGGACTTGCATTGTTAAGAGAGATGGAGCATAAGTAATGACCTTGGAGTGTAGGAAGTGATTTCGTAAATTGAGTTGATATCTTTAATTAACGCGATATGTTCACCACGGAAAAGGAGGAGATGAATGTTGGTGTTGTATTTAGTAGTACCTTTCTTTGCAAGAGAAAACAGGAATTTCTCTTCTTTCCCACCTCTCATCCCCCACCCCCCCTTCTTTCTCTTGTAGGGAATATATATAAAGTCAAATTTGATTAGCTCTTTCAATTTTCCTCAAGTCTTCCCACTTTACCGGTTCAGTAATGTTTATAAAGTTTACATGTTTCTTACAGACACGTCTTGACTCCACCATTCCTTTTATGCGACACCAGTGTTTGTGTTTCCGTCGATGCAACAGACAACCCACTATACATTGTATCTCACATAAAACATTTTCCCCCGCGGATGCCTGGTGAATAGGAATATATTTACCTCGGGGATAGAAGTATATTTACCCAGTCTCCGTCGAGTAAAGTGAATGTGGTTGATGCAGACCCCAACCCCCTCAACTTTAAAAATGACGAAACTTAAACCCTCTGTCTGACTTGTGATACTTTCGGGTCTCGTTTGGAGGAAATAAATACATCTTTCAAGTAGAGCCGGCCAAGTAGACCCGGAATTTCGGCTATGGGTATGACATGTCCTCTAAATCCTCTCCAAAACTCTCGGTGTCTTCCTCAAGCGGAGAAAAATCTAACTAAAGTGATAGGAATCTGTGCAAATACCTTGATGGATGACAGGGTTCGTTCAGCAGCAAAAAAAAAAAAAAAAAAAAAAAAAAAAAAAAAAAAAAAAAAAACAGTGTTTGGATAACGAACAAAAAGAATAATTTAAAACGTCGCAGATATCCGACGGGATCCCGAATATACTGGTCAGATGTACTGTACACTGACCTTGTGTAATGTCGAAGAAAGGCACTGACTTGACTCACCATGTGGGGGCGACTTCGTTTTCTTCATCGGGACAGTTTTGGTGGTGGTGGTGATGGTGATAATTGTTGCTGTTGTTGTTGTTGGTATTTTTTGTTGTTATTGTTGTTAATGTTTGCTGTGGTGGTCTGTTATTGTTG